ACATCTCCCTTCACCCACTTTTCGGTTGTCCGTCCCCCAGGGAAGAGGTCACATATAGTTCCTTGTAATCGGTTCCCTCCACAGCTGATTTTAAAAGTGACAGTGGGACAGCAAATCTAAGGGCAATTTTACTTGTAGCCTGCATAAATGAAACTATGATTGATCACGTAAAATATACAAGGACGTTCAACAAAGCAATCAAGCAATTCCTAGGAAATGCAAGACCGACGACTTGTCAAATGAAAGATGCTATGCGTGCTCACATGTGCCACCACGTTAATGCCGACTCACAGCGACCATCTATCTAGACAGGGTAGAACTGCCCCCATGGATTTCCAAGACTAACTCTTACAGGAGTAGTCAGCCTCATCTTTCTCTTGCAGAGCAGCTGGTGGGTTAGAACTGCTGGCCCTTGCTGTTATCAGCCCAACTTATCAGCACCGATTCATTTAAGAATAGCAATGATAAATCTACTATACTCATATAAGTCACATTTCTAGGAAAAGTAACTTTTCCAAGTGGGGGAAAAACCCTATTTAGTAAGAATGACATTGTTTTGCATTTTTTACAAATCTCTTCGAAGTGTGGTTTAGAAAATAGTTGCATCTTCCTATTCTGTACTCAACCTGATTTGATATGTGCTTCTGATTGATGCCTATAAAGGAAGGCTAGCCTCATAGAACAATGTAGTTGGAAAACAGACGAGTATTTTAGTAGTATTTTCAGATATTTATGATTTTTTCATATATATCATACCAAACTTGACTCAATAAATGTTGTTCCCCCTTTTTAAAACCCATTTTATTGGTATATAATTCTCACATCACACAATAGTTCAATCACATTAAGAAGGCTTGTACAATATTGTCAACTTTAGAACATTTTCTTCTTTCTGGTACTCATGGTTATTCAAATGGTGTTTCCTAGAGATCAGTTGCTGTGTGAATTTTGAAACCTTAGCAATGAACTTTTGGGTTCAACATTACATTGAACTCCAACGGTCTATCTTGAGCTTCAGGTGGATCTTTTAAAAGTAATTGGTCCACTGTATCTTCTAAATCTTCCAAAAGTTTTCAGATTTCAGACAAGATTTTAGAAATTGTGTGCTCTTAGATGACTCCATGCATCTGAAATGCCCAGAAGAGTCACACCCATTGAACGGAATGACTATGTGGCTGCCTAAGGCTCTACAAAGAAGTGCCAGGAGGTGACTGCCAATGAGGACAATTGTTTCCTATTGGGGGATGAGAATGTTCTAAAGTGAGAGAGTGGTGATTATTGCAGGACTCTGTGAATATAGTTTTAAAGCATTGAATTATGCACTTTAATGTGATGAGTTGTATGAGCCCCTAATAAAATGAT